TCCATTTATCTTGATGTTGCTTATTGGTCCAGTTGTGATGATTTTTGTTTTCTTTATGTTGAGGTGTAGTCCATACCAAAAGCTGTAGCCTTTGATCTTCATCAGTAAATGCTTCAAGTCCTCTTCACTTTCAGCAAGCCAGGTTGTGTCATTTGCATAACACAGGGTATTCCCCAATCCTGATCCCATGTTCTTCTTCATATAGTCCAGCTTCTCAGATTATTTGCTCAGCAGATTGAATAAAACATACTTTAGGGAAAAGGAAAATAGAAAAAGGAAACCATGGGGCTATCTTCCTTGGTAAATGTAAAGGCTTCAGGACTATGTTCTGAAATGGGAAAATGGTCTAAAGTCTGGGGGCACCATCCCAAAGAAAATAAAACTGAAGGGACAGAAACAGATTCTTCATAATGGCTTAACAAGAGTATAACTTACACTCTCATGACTTAATAGGGTATTACTCCACCCACTGCCATGGAGTCGATTCCAGCTCATAGGGACCTCCATAGAATTTCTAAGACTTTAACTCTTTACAAAAGTATATTGCCTCATCTTCCTTTTGTGGAACCACTGGTGGGCTTAAATCACAGACCTTCTGGTTAGCAGCCAAATAAATGCCTTACCCACACACAGTGTCACCAGAGCTCCTTAGGGTATTAATATATTTTTTAAAAGTAGGTTAAAGACAAGATGATAAAACAATATGAATGAGATGAAAATGGAAATTGCTAGTCTAACTAAACAAAGAATAAAGCAATATTATTGCACAAATGATATATAGATTAGAAATGCTAAAATATAGAAATGGTACTGTTGAAAATTGGTTTACTAACAACAGAAACATGTATTCATGTAATCACAGTGAATAGAGGACAGACCAGGAAATTAAAGACAGAGAGAATTCAAAAGATACACAAAAAAACAAACTCACTGCAATCAAGTCAGTCCCGACTCATAAGGACCCCTCCTTGGGTTTCTGAAGTGGTATCTCTACAGAAGTAGATTGCCCCATCTTCCTTCCAAGGAGCAGCTGGTGGGTTTGAACAGCCAGCCTTCTGGTTAACAGTCAAATGCCTTAGGCACTATGCCACCAGAGCTCTCCAAAAGATATGAAGACATGCAAATATTATAGAATATGAAGATAATAACTGGAGTCTCTGAGTAGAAATCTAACAAATGGAACAGAAGATATATATATATACATATATATATATGTATATATAAAATGAGATGTGGGAATCAATAAGCTTGTTTAAATATATATATATATATATATGAAAATTTCTCAGAAATGAAAAAAAAGGACCAAATTGGTTTCCAGAAATATAATATAGAATGTTCAAAACCCAGACATATCTTAGTTAAGCTATCACACCTCAAGGATAAAGAAATTATTCTTCAGATGTCAAATCAGAAAATCCTTATTCTTTAAGGGAGGAGAGAAAAAATCAACCTGGCTCAGACCTCCTCACTGAAGCTTTTAGTGCCATGCTGTCTGAAAATGGCAGGAATTCTGGTGGTGCAATGGTTAAGGATGCTAAATAGTAGGTCAGCTGTTCAAACCCACCAGCTGCTCCATGGGTGGAAGATGAGGCAATCTACTTCCATAAAGATTTGCACTTGGAAACTATATGGGGGAGGGGGTTGCTATGAGTCTGAATAGATTCAGTGGCAGTGGGTTTGGTTGTGTTTGGTTTATCTGAAAGTGGAGAAAGAAAAATCACTGAAGGATATTATGTTCAGTCAAAATCTTCTTAAAATATAAAGCCATCAGGGATACATGCTTCAATCTGAAAGAACTAAAGCAACTATGAGATCTTTTAAAAGCAAATACTTGATATTAAGTGGCCAGTCAATAAAAAAAAAATAGCAAAATAACTCAGGGATAACTTAGCCATGGCAAAATGAGATGTGGGAACCAATAAGTGTGTTTAAATGTAGAACTAATACTAAACACCTGTGTCAATTAAGTGTTGCACTGGGCAAATCTGCAAAAGGCGAAGGAAGACCACAGAAGAATTGATGCATTTGAATTGTGGTGCTGACAAAGAATATTTAAAATACCATGGGCTGCCAGAGGAATAAATTAATCTGTCTTGGAAGAAGTACAACCAGAATGCTCCTGAGAAGTAAGAATGGCCAGACATCGTCTCACATACTTTGGACATGTTGTCAGAAGGAATCAGTGCCTGGAGAAGGATGTCATGCTCAGTAAAGCAGAGGGTCAGCAAAAAAGAGAAAGACCCTCGATGAGATGGATTGACACAGTAGGTTCAACTATAGGCTCAAGCATAGCAATGATTGTGAGGATGCCACAAAACCAGGCAGTGTTTTGTTCTATTGTACTATGATTTGGAGCCTCTTTGAAGGCACCTGACAACAACAATATGGCAATTAATGTTACACATAGCATATGAATGCTATCAATTGGGCAGAATAAAAATAATTATATAACGAATAAATGTGGAAGATAGAGGGCCAGAGATGGAAGAAAGTAGAAGAGTACATATGTCTTTATCTTCCCAGCATGAATAAATATCATCTAAAATTATGATATGAAGTTTAAAATGCATACACCAAAAAAAAAGGGGGGGGACCAGGTGACCAGGTTTGATAGAGCCTGGTGGAACCACTGAGACTATGGTCCCTAGCTGCCCTTCAGGTCTGGAATTGAACCAACACCTGTAGCTTCCAGTCAAACAAAAGACAGGTAGGAATATGAGTTGAACATGTACCTGAGGTAGATACACTCCATGGAGAGAACACTCATGGGAGAGAGAAAGGCTGTTTATGCACAGGGAGACAGTTCAGGGGGCAGGAGTGCATGGAGGGATGGACACCGGGAAGAGGTAACTATCGAGAGGAAGTGGGAGGGGAGCTGTTCCATTGGGGTAAATTGTAGTCAATGTCATGAAACAACGTGTGTGTGAATGGCTGTATGGAAAGTGAATTTGGAGAATAATAAATGAAGAAAAAAATAAAAAAAAAAAAAAAAAAAAACTGAAAAAAAAAAAAAAGACGTAAGCACAGACATGTAAATACAGAAACAGAAATAGATGAAACCAGTGAAGAGACTTTAAAAATTGTTGAATTGAAGAAGGGCAGTATTTGTACAGGGAGACAGCTTAGAGGGCAGTAAATACATAGGAAAGAAGGACACAGGGAAAAGATAACCACAGGGAGGAAGCAGGAAGAAAGCCGTTACACAATGGGGATTGCAAGCAATGTCATGAAACAAAACATGTATGAACTGCTATATGGAAAATGAATTTGCTGTGTAAGCTTTCGCCCAAACCACAATATAAATAAATAAATACACTGTTGAATTGAAAAAAAATGCAAACACATAATTATTGCAACCTCTTAATATTTCATGATCATTTTTTTAACCTTAGAATGATCACTTAGGATATAATGTTGTTGTTGTTATGTGCCGTCAAGTCGACCTGACTCATAGTGACCCCTCCTTGGGTTTCCGAGGCAGTATCACTACGGAAGTAGATTGCCCCATCTTCCTTGCAAGGAGTGGCCGTTGGGTTTGAACCGCCAGCCTTCTGGTTAGCAGTCAAGTGCCTTAGACACTCCACTACCAGAGCTCCTGGATATAATAACTACTGTAACTATTATAGTGTGGCTATTGTAACTATTATAGTGTGGAAACCTATGTAAACTTTAACAGTTCTTTTTCTTTCATCTGTACATTTAATCATAATTAAAACTTATACTTTTTATTTTAAAATGTAACAGCTAGAGAATGATCTCACTTTATAAAAGTCTCTCTGCATATGTATCTTAGTAGGTGGCTCCAATGATATTCATCTAATGTTAATAATGATTATTTCTAGCTTGTGAGGCATATTTTAACTTTAATCTTTGTATCTCTGCATTTAAAAAAATTTATCTTAAATGAATATGTTGTATTTTATAAAAACAAACATAATTAAAAAGAAAAGTAGAAAATACTGTCCATATTTGAATACAAATATTTGGATAAGGATAAAAATGTATTATATTGTTCTTGGTAATTTCTATACTTTTTAAATTTAAAAAAATTGAAGAATTAATTAATTAATAGTTGGTAGAAGGTGAGGACAGGAAGTACTACTCCATGTACTTGAAGGCATTCCCACCTACAAGACTTCTTTTTAAGGGATGTATCCCAGAGGGGTCTCCTCCACCAGGGCTACTCAACAGCACTGAAATCTCTTCCAGATCCATCTCAATGAGCAGTTGTAGAAGCTGCTGGCTGTCAATCAGCGTCTTCATCAAAATGGCTTAAGGGACAATTCTGTTCCCACTCAAAAGGTATAGAGCAGATTTGGGCACACACGCTGACAGAGGGTAGGAGGGACAGCCTTTGAAAGCAATTGCACTTAGGGACTTAACTTTTTTAACAGCTTCTCAATTCATACACCATAACAGTCACTCTTTTAAAGTGTACAATTCAGTATTTTTTAGTGTATTCACAAAGTTGTGCAACTATCCTCACTACCTAATTCCAGATAATTTCATCACTCCAAACAGAAATTTCATACCCATTAGTGATCACTCCCCACTTCCCTCTCCCACCCCACCCCAATTCCCTGGAAAATACTAATCTACTTTCTATCTTTATATATTTACCTATTCTGGATAAATAGGTATAAATAGAATCAAATAATATGAGGGTTTTTGTGGCTGACTTCTTTCACTTAGCATAATGTTTCAAGGTTCATCCATGACTCAGTATGTATCAGAACTTCATTTATCTTTATGATTGAATAATATTCCATTGCAAAAAGATACTAGGTTTTGTTTATCCATTCGTCCATTCATGGACATTTAAGTCGTTCCCTCCTTTTGGTTATTGTGAATAAAGCTGCTGTAAACATGTACAAGTTTTTGTATGAACACGTTTTCATTTCTCTTAGCTATATATGTAGGAGTGAAATTGCTGGATCATATCATAATTTGTTTAGGAGCTAAAACATTTGAACTGCTGTCTTCTTCTTTGTTCCTAGGCAGAAATGGTGCACAGTGCCTTCCAGGCTCAGCGAGCTTTCCTTTTGATGGCCTCTCAGTACCAACAACCCCAAGAGGTAAGAGATAAGGCTGTCAAGGGCATGAGCAATATAAGACAGAAACAAGGAAACAACAGAACTGTGTACTATGAGAGACATCCCCAAAATTGAGACTTATAGCACATATAGGTCCCATCTCCAGTTTGGATCACAACATGGAACATTTCTTCTGTCTTCAAAATCTTAATAGGTGTTTTAAAAATGCATACCAATTGATGGGGGGGGAGCAATAATGCCTTCTTACTACTAATATATAAATAGAGCTCAGACGGCATAGTGCCTAAGGCATTTGACTGGTAACCAGAAGGTTGGTGGTTCAAACCCACCATTTGCTCCATGGAAGGAAGATGGGGCAATCTACTTCTATAAAGATTTGTTGTTGTTGTTGTTATGTGCCATCGAGTCAGACCCGACTCATAGCAACCCCTCCTTGGGTTTCTGAGGCATTGTCACTATGGAAGCAGATTGCCCCATCTTCCTTCTGAGTAGGGGCTGGTGGGTTTGAACCACCAGCCTTCTGGTTAGCAGTCAAGTGCCTTAGGCACTACGCTACCAGAGCTCCTCTATAAAGATTTACTGCCTCAGAAATCCAACACGAGTCGCTATGAGTTGGAATCGACTCAATGGCAGTGTTTGGTGTTTCATACTTTGGTAATTGATATCACTAGTTTAAAAGGTTAACTTATTCATATGATCTGTATCCTATTCTCTGTACTCATCTCACAAGCTTTTTATAATCAAGGAAGTGTTTACTACTAGTTTTTAGTTCAGATTTTGTGCAGGTTTGGTATTAAAAACTGTTCATTTCTATGATATCAGAACTTCTCACTATGAATTCAATGTACAAACTGATTAGTTACCACTCTATAAGTAAGATAGGTAAAGATAGACAGATAGTTGCCATCCTGTTGACTAATTCATGGTCACCTTATGTACAGCAGAACAAAACACTGCCCAATCTTGTGCCATCCTCATGACAACTGTCATGCTCAAATCCATCACTGTGACTACTGTGCCAACTCATCTCACTGAGAGTTTCCCTTACCACTACAGACCCTCTACTTCCCTAAACATGATTAATCCTTCCTGAACAAGGAAATCCTTTCTGATGCAAGGAAATCTGACAGTGTTCTGTTGTGATCCATAAGGTTTCAAATCTCCCTAGTCTGTATTAACCTGGAAGTTCTGCTGAAAACTGCCCAGCGTGGGTGACCCTGCCAGTATTTGAAATACAAGTGGCATAGCTTCTAGCACCACAGATTGGCTAAATCAGTGCTTCCCAATTTAATATGCTTATAGATCACTTCCAAAACTCAAACCAAAACCAAACTCACTGTCATCAAGTCAGTTCCAACTCACAGCAAGCCCTCCTTGGGTTTCTGAGATGGTATCTCTAAGGAAGTAGATTGCCCATAGATCACCTAGGAGCTCTGGTGGCATAGTGCCTAAGGCATTTGACTGCTAACCAGAAGGCTGGAGGTTCAAACCCACCAGCCACTCGTCAGAAAGAAGACTGGGCAATCTACTTCCTTAGTGATACTGCCTCAGAAACCCAAGGAGGAGGTGTCATCACCTAGGGAGCTTAAATGCAGTTTCTGATTTTTCCACAAGCTTTTCCCATAAGCTCCTCCATGGTGATGCTTGTGCTGGTGGTCATTATTCTGACAAAAACACTGAAGAGAATCTGTATGAGTTTGTACGTACAAGGGCATTTATACAGATCAACTTTTCTTAGGTTTAAGATATTTAGAGATGTTAGAGGACTGGTTGCTAAGTGCAGTAATGTTATTGTTGCTGTTGGGTGCCACTGAGTTGATTCCAACTCACAGTGACCCCATGTGAC